GACCCATTTTTTTCCATTATCATTCATAAATAACAATTAATGGGGGCTTGAGGTATAAGCGAATTAATCTTTACATTTGTAATTAAAATAATGGAACACTAATATTAAATCATTCTTAATGCATAGAATCAATCCTTGTATTTAATGGTGGTGGACTGCTCTTAATTTGAAGCTGCACAATACAAACCCTTTTAATTTAATAATTTTTTATAAAAATATTTATTTAGCATTTTGGTACGTAACGGTCTTTGCTTACTATTTGGCAAACGCCCTATTTACATACTTTTTAGAGTGCTCAATGAACCTACGCAGACCCATGAGAGAGAGAGAGAGAGAGGGAGACAGAGAGAGAGAGAGAGAGAGAGAGAGAGAGAGAGAGAGAGACACACACACGCCCTGTACTGCTTATTCTGCACAATTTTAGGCTTGGTGTTGGTTTTGAAACCTATCAACCTCGAGAGAGCTGTTAAGGATACCACGAGACCTTACTGGCCAGCCATCAAGTAAACTTCATTTCTAAACATAGTCGTTAATATCCACTTGATGAAATTATCTCGATAACAAAGTTGGTTTTATTTGGCACTGGGTTTATATCCTATTAATCTGAGTTTGATTATTAAGGCCGAAGGACTAGTTTACTGACCAACCATCAAGGCTACTTTAGTGTTCAGCGGTCTAGGATTATAAGTAATATCTCAGTGTGCCTACACCGAGAAGCGGAATATACTTTTTCGTGTACATGAAGTAATTTGGTTTTGTGTTGGTGGTAATGGTGATCAACCACTGAACGGTTAAGACCAACACAAGCACTTACTGACCAATCACCAAGTGGTCAGTAAGCCACTTGTTTACTGTGGCTTACTCTATAATTTAGCCCTGAACATAGTCGAGGACTAAAGAAAACTTAAGTGTATAGCGGGAATAAAACAGATTTTATCTTAGTGTATCAACCTCTTTTATAGAGTTGTTGTTGTTAAAGATTCGCTACCTGGAACAAAAAGTTCCAAGTAGCACGGGCTATGGTGAGCCCGTAGTGGGTGATTTTTTTTTTTATAGAAGCTAAATGATCTTTATATATTCTCATCAGCTGCACACATACCGAGTAAGAAATTTATCAGTGCTATAAGGGCATGGTCAGTTAAATTATAAACAAGCTTGGGGAATCTTTCTAGTATGAAACATACAGTTCCTGATGAACCGAATTTTACTATATAAATTGAAAATGTACTTTTTAAATAAATATTTTTGTACAAAGGAATTTTGTAAACTGTATAGTGACCTACATGTGTTGTCTATATCATAGGAAGCATTGGAATTATTTGAAATATATTTTATCAATATTTTTTAAAATTTCCTTCAAATTTTGTTTGGTGTTGAACCTGAGTCCTATTAACCGCAGAAGGTTATCAAGACTACCAGAAGAGAATGCTGACCGACCAGCAAGTATACTTTAGTCCTGAACATAATTCAGGACTGAGTAGTAATAATATATATATATATATCACGTCAGTAAATTTATATCATAATAGCACAAATGTGATAATAATTAAAGTGATGATTGATTGATGAAGATTAAGCCACCCAAAAGGTGGCACGGGCATGAATAGCCCGTAAGTGGTGGCCCTTTTGAGCCATTACCAGTATCAAGAGCTGATACTGGAGATCTGTGGAGGTGCGACTGCACCCTGCGTGACGGAAGATGTCTTCCGTGGAATTAAAGTGACCTCACAAGGGTATATATATGCCGAGAGGTGAAGCCCGCTTCTCGGTGTATATACACTGAGAATTTGTACTTAAATCCTGGACTATGTTCAGGACTCTTAGTCCACTTGCCGGTTGGTCAGGAGGTTATTACGATGACCCTGATAACCCTCCCGTGTATACAGGCCTTAACCCTGGCACTAAAACAAAACCCCTTACATATTCTCGTACTTGGCGCTGTTGCAAAATACCTAGTATTACTAGAGGGGGAAAATCCTATCGTGGTGATGAATACTCGATACCAGGGATAAACTGGATATTTGGCAGGTGGCTGAGTAATTTTGACAGGTGGCTGAGCATTTTGACAGGTGGCTGAGTATTTTGACCGGTGGCTGAGCATTTTGACCGGTGGCTGAGCATTTTGACCGGTGGCTGAGCATTTTGACAGGTGGCTGAGCATTTTGACCAGTTGCTGAGCATTTTGACAGGTGGCTGAGCATTTTGACCAGTGGCTAAGCATTTTGACAGGTAGCTGAGTATTTTGACCGGTGGCTGAGCATTTTGACCGGTGGCTGAGTAGTTTGACCGGTGGCTGAGCAGTTTGACCGGTGGCTGAGCAGTTTGACCGGTGGCTGTTTAGTCTATGTAACTAAGGTGTTTACCCCGTCATCGTAATATTTGTCTTTTCTTCCTTGCTAATATCTTCATTCAGTAAGGTTTGAGATGCTGATTTTACCATGGATGCCACGCGAGAGTAAAGCACACACCAACCCGTCACTGTAATAACATTTCAGACGCATAATCTTGAAAAGCATACGTAATCCTTCTGGAAACTTGCTGATAGTGATACCCAATGAAGTTAGTGAAGGCTGTTACATTATGCGAAAAAATAAGATAAAAATAAATGTTAAGCTATCCTTAAAATCACAAAATGCGTGATAATAGTTGGTTGATGTGTCTGCCTCTCCCTCCCTTCCTCTCTCTCTCTCTCTCTCTCTCTCTCTCTCTCTCTCTCTCTCTCTCTCTCTCTCTCTCTCTCTCTCTCTCTCTCTCCCTCACTCTGTCTGTCTCTCTCTCTCTCCCTCTCTCTCTCTCTCTCCCTCTCTCTCTCTCTCTCTCTCTCTCTCTCTCTCTCTCTCTCTCTCTCTCTCTCCTCTCTCTCTCTCTCTCTCTCTCTCTCTCTCTCTCTCTCTCTCTCTCTCTCTCTCTCTCTCTCTCTCTCCCTCTCTCTCTCAAGAAATACAAAAGAGAGAGAGAAGGAGAGACCGAGCATGGAATCTTTATCATCCGGCAAAGCAGAAATCATTGTGCATATTGAGCTCTGTTCTGTTGCTAATTAAATACTAAAAGCCAATAAATTTGCATTAGCGTACCACAGGGAAGTATGAATTCTTCGCTCCTTGGAACTTCAGCTTCTACTACCAACTGCACCTCATCCTTCCCTTAAGACAACGATTTTACTCTAATCTTTCCTTATACAAGAGTTGACCAATGATATAAGGATCATCAATCAGCCACTTCTTGCGATATCTGCTCGGGGTAGTCAATGACAGGCTGTATTTACTGTTTTTTTTTTTTTTTTTTTTTTTTTTTTTTTTTTTTTTTTTTTTTTTTTTTGAGATATATACAAGAGTTGTTACATTCTTGTAGAGCCACTAGTACGCGTAGCGTTTCGGGCAGGTCCTTAATCCTATGGTCCCTGGAATACGATCCCCTGCCGCGAAGAATCGTTTTTCATCCAAGTACACATTTTACTGTTGTGTTAAACAGAGGCTACAGTTAAGGAATTGCGCCTAGTAAATCCTCCCCGGCCAGGATACGAACCCATGACTTAGCGCTCGCGGAACGCCAGGCGAGTGTCTTACCACTACACCACGGAGACTGTTGATGAAACGCACATGCTGCTGGATGAAAATCAATGGGAGTGACACATGATTTATCAATGAGAATGTAGAACCACATACAAGCAAGGTCTGACAGCCGAGTGGACAGCGGTCGGGATTCGTAGTCCTAAGGTTCCATTCCCGGTGGAGGCGGAAACAAATGGGCAGTTTCTTTCACCCTGATGCTCCTGTTCACCTAGCAGTAAGTAGGTACTTGGGAGTTAGAAAGCTGCTACGGGCTGCTTCCTGGGGGTGTGTAACGAAAAGGCCTAATCGAAGACCGGGTCGCGGGGACGCTAAGCCCCGATATCATCTCAAGATAACCCCAAGAAGGCTGTTAAGAAACTTGCAGTACATCTCATATTTGTTTAAAAGCAGCGGCTGCAAAACTTCATATAAAGTTCAAATTAGCTCACACATTAAGTATGCACCACACTACTTTTGCACAATAAATTGGTATGTCACATATGCACATATTCATAAGTAAGATATTGACTATAAGCAAGTGCGAGAACGGGTTGACTTGGAAAACATATACCCCCCCTCATCCTTTCTCATATTTCTGGTCAAGTTAGTAAGCCGTGCAGGGACAACTAACACCAAGTCTAGCCTTATTATGACGATCTGCAATCCAGCAGAGTCTTAAACACTGGAGATATGTCAGCAGCTTCACTGTTATGCACAATCCAAACATTTATAAGTTTCCACCACTTGGCCCATATTGTGGACAAAGAGAGAAGGACTAGTACAAGGCGTCCAGTCACAAGGAATAGTACCATTCCCTAGACTATCCCTTCATCAGCGTTCATTTCTTGTCCTAGCAACTATTCCTTGTCCTAGCAACTGAAGCCCGTACCAAGCAAATATTCGACAAATCAAATCCACTCGCCTTATGAAAGTTCCAACCCACGGTTGGATCAGGCTTCAGCCTGTACCTAATGTGAATGTAAACTAACACTAATTAATAGGGAAGAGAGGTAGTGAGAGAGAATAAATCAAAGAAGTAAATAGGACATTGTGAGGAGCATGCGAATATAATAGAGCCCACACATGCAGAAAGAGAATATATATGAAACATCAAGATTTAATTTACTGTCAAGACAGACGACGCATATTAAAAAGATAATAATGACCTGTCTGAAGGAACAAGGCGGCAGGTAACAGACCCATGGAGGGGGATGGTGCTACTTGCAGCCCGCCCCAGGTCATGCTCCTCACTTCAATTTCAACTCGGCATCCTTCCCAATCTCTCCCTAATCATTCTTCCTAATATTTCCCCCCCCCCCTCTCTCTCACTCTCTCCTATTGCATCCATCGTATTCTGTCTCTCAGCATCCGTCTCATTCTCTCAGCATCCATCTCATTGTCTCAACATCAATCTCATTCTGTTTCTCAGCATCCGTCTCATTCTGTCTCAACATCAATCTCATTCTGTGTCTCAGCATCTGTCTCATTCTGTCTCAGCATCAATCTCATTCTGTTTCTCAGCATCCGTCTCATTCTGTCTCAACATCAATCTCATTCTGTGTCTCAGCATCAATCTCATTCTGTCTCTCAGCATCCATCTCATTCTGTCTCAGCATCAATCTCATTCTGTCTCTCAGCATCCATCTCATTCTGTCTCAGCATCAATCTCATTCTGTCTCTCAGCATCCATCTCATTCTGTCTCAGCATCCTTCACAGTCTCCCTCTCTCAGCATCCTTTCCAAATCTTAAGATCCCTCCCAAACTCTCTCTTTCTCTCTTCTTATACTCTAGCTTACTCTGCCCCCACCTACCAACGCTCCTTCCTATAAACTTCCTTCACCCCCACTACCGGTTGTGAATGTGGTTGGGACGGAGCACCTTTGACCAGTCAACAATTACTACTCCAGTAAATTAATATATGTCTCCCCCCATTACCTTGTACAAAAATTACCTGCAAGAAGGACATATAAACCAACGCGAACAACCCTGGGAATTGTTGTCTTGGGGCAGTAGAGACTCAACGTGTCTGTTAAGCCAAATCGACATGAGAACTTTTGTCAAATATATAATTCTTAATAAAATACAGTTTTGGTATAACTGCGTGACAATGCCCAAAAAATATTAACATAATTCATTAGTGATACAAATTCTAATCAATTACATTTAATCTAACCTGTTAGATTATTTGAAAACATTTATGGGAGAGTTTCAGACAGCTTGAACCTATATTAGATATCGTGAGTACTGATTAAGTTGCAGGACTACAAAAATGTAGATTAAATCAGAATATAAACTTAATATCATAATATATATAGATATTAACATATTCTAATTTTTTTTTAGATTTTTCGTTAATTTGCCTCTGCGTCAATTCGGTCAAATTATGAACTTACTTATATGTACTTCCCTAAATGTGGCGCTGGCTGGGTCGGACGTAAGCTCCCGAGCTCAGACTTCTTAACCCTCTTGTTTTTTATCATACATTTTAAAACTAATAATTATAGTTGTTTCTGCTATCTTCCCTCTCTAGTCCAATATATCTGCAGTCTGCCCTTACTCTAAAAAGTTATTTCTAATATCCTTGAGACTCTAAGTTTCCGTTCATGTTCCTTTGTACTTCATGTTGCACTGAACATGTCCCTTTGTTCCATCCTGTCCTTACAGTGAACATGACCCCTTGTTCCATCCTGTCCTTACAGTGAACATGACCCCTTGTTCCATCCTGTCCTTACAGTGAACATGACCCTTTGTTCCATCCTGTCCTTACAGTGAACATGACCCCTTGTTCCATCCTGTCCTTACAGTGAACATGACCCCTTGTTCCACCCTGTCCTTTAGTGAACATGACCCTTTGTTCTATTATCTTATATTGAACATGTTCCCCTGTTCACCCTGTCGTTTAGTAAACATGTCCCCCTTGTTCTATTGCATCATATACTGAACATCCCCTTAATTTATTGTGTTATCCACTGAACACATTCCTGTTCTACCTTACTTTAACCTCCTACGGTCGATATAACATCAAAACAATCATATATATATAGATATATATATATATTCACCGAGAACTGTTTTTTATTCCTCGGTGAGGACTTTGGTGTTGACAGCCACAGAGTCTCATGGTATAGTCTCAACGGAGTTTGACCTGCTCCAATACATACATTTCTCAGACCGCTACTTTAATTCTCACCATTATATTTCTGGTGGACACATTTGCTGATCAAACACACACTGTTTTTATTCTGCCACACGTGACGTCGAGTTTCACTCTATACTAGCACAAAAACATGTGTTTAATGTTTTTTGTTTAAGCATCGTTTGTGTGCGGTGGCGGGTGGTTGAGGAAGGTGCTGTGGGGAGAGTTGGGGATAGTGAAGAATGGTGAAGGTGAGAGTTGGGGGATAGTGAGGACTGGTGTGTGTGTGTGTGTGTGTGTGTGTGTGTGTGTGTGTGTGTGTGTGTGTGTGTGTGTGTGTGTGTGTGTGTGTGTGTGTAATCCTTCGAATGTTTAAATATAAATGGGTCGAGTTCTCATAGCGAGTGGCAGGAGTCGTGATGAACGAAAGGGCAATACAGAACATATGCTGAAAAACAAATTTGTCGTTCTGGACCACATGAGTAACAATACACATGCTCTTAAAGGATTAAACAAGTGATGCAATATTGTGCTTGCCCATTGTCAAGATTGTGCACTGTCACAGCTGCCAGGGAAAGTGGTCACAATGCACCCCGTTCTCTTCATTTGCTCGACCGTGTGATCTTTCCAGCCTTGGTAGTAATGGTACGAGCCTTGGTTGTTATCTTGCGAACCTTGCATGTTATCTTGAGAACCTTGCGTGTTATCTTGAGAACCTTGCGTGTCATCTTACGACCCTTGTCTGTGAGCTTCAGAGCCTTGATAGTAATCTTCCGAGATTTGCCTGTAACATTGCGTACATTGTTTGTCATCCTGTTATCCTCTTCTCTGATCTTACGAGCTTCTCCTGTGATCTTGCGAGTCTTAGCCAGGACTCATCAACCACTTACGAAGCCTCTACATCTTTTATTTATCTTGCCTGCATCGTTTACATTTATTAAACAGTTTACGAGGTCAAAAAGTCCCAACTCAAGGTTATTATTGTTCTGAAAAACCCTTCGGAGCTCAGTGTTTAATAAGTGTAAACAAAGCCGCCATGACTGAAGAAAGATGTACAGGTTTCGCAAGTGGTTGAGTAAATGATGTATCCTGCCTCCTTGTCTGTCTTCCTAGGAGCCTTGGCTGTGATCCTCGCTTGTTATCTTACGCGCCTTGCCTGTGATTTTAACCGTAATAAGATTCTTGAATGATTATTTGGATTTACTTCTAAATATTAATTTATTTGCCGATAAACTACGCCTCTAAACACTTCCAGAACTACTCTGGTAGTTCAGACTATGCTTCAACCATCGGCAGAAAAGTCTCCCAACTAACATTTACAAGAAAATGGAGTCCATTTTCTTTTCTAAGGTACTTGAGAGAGTATGAAAGATATTTATGGCAAAAATAGAGTAAAAAAAATTATTATTTATTTCTTCTCCAAATATTAGATGCAAGTGGAACAAGCTTAGAGAGTGATGCGGGAACAACATTGAAGAAAGAATTAGACAAGAACCTATCAAAATCGCGACTCTACATGCTTATAACTTACCTCTATGGGATTTATATAAACAACCTAGTTTAGATGTAATGGTTCGCTGATGTTTGCAAACTTTTGTAGATCTTGGTAAACATCTGTAAACCTATAAAAGCCTCTGTAAACCTGAGGTTCAGAAGGTCCACGATGCAAATTAGCTCACTAAGGTTAGGATAAAAAATGATGAAAATTTGTTGAGAAGTCAAAATAAATTATTTGTGAAGAAAGTGCTTTTGGTGTTTAATTGTTTCCTTGAGTTTGTTTAATCTCTGCTCCTTAATGCAACTTACCTTCTATTTACAATAATTATTATTATAAGTACGAATACATTTGAAACACCAAAACCAAATTTTGTAACTAGAATTGCAATAAAACAAAATCATTCACAATTATATATATATATATATATATATATATATATATATATATATATATATATATATATATATATATATATATATGTGTGTGTATATATATATATATTTTTTTTTTTAACCTAGAAGGGGTACCACCTCTGGTGCAAGTGTAGGGACCCATAGCCTCGGAGAAGAAAATAAAGAGTACTCAGAGAAGACCTTGTGGATCATCACTGAACACTTTGATATTTTCTTCTCCTACCACCCCTATTCATTTGGTATGTGTGTATATTTATCTAACTTTATTTAGATATATATATATAATATATATATATATATATATATATATATATATATATATATATATATATATATATATATATATATATATATGTATGTATAAAATAAACAAAACTTATCTAAATACATCTTTAAGTAATAAAACGATTACCTCTTCAATATTCTCGACCAAAACAATGTCTTCTTGAAGTAACAGTTAATAATGGAAGTGAGGTGAAGACACACACATATCATATATCTCATCTCTGCTCCTATCCCTGACCACAAAACCAACGTAGAGAGTACGAACATACGGCTGTAATCCCTATACTCGGCGGAACGCTTCAGTGGAAATTATAACATTTGCTGGTTTGATTAACGATTTAGTTGGAGAGGAGTCTTGTGTGGTCTCATTTAAGATCATCGTCAATCATCGGAGGTACTAGCATCATCTGTCTTCCGGAAATTGTGATTAATGAAGTCAATCCCAAGTCAAATCATTGCGTGCTGTTATTATGTACTTTTTCTCTCATATTGTTTGGGTTGGAGAGTAGGCTATCTGCTCAATCCATGGGTGGTTTTTTTTTTTTATTATTATTATTTTCTACCACAGACGTGGCCACACATTTACAATGCTAACCAGCATATATACATTTTCATCTGTCCTCCATGGACAGGGTGAGAGATTTGTCAAACATACAGTTCAGAGATTTATTGAACAACCACAGAAGGTGATCGTAGTGCTTTTAAAATGTGTGGTGTGTGGGCTACTTCCAGGTCACTTGTTCACTGCCTGGCACCTGTGAGTCTACCTTCCCTGCCACTTAAACCCTAAGGGTATTTTTTTTTTAATTAAAAATTATTTAAGAACAAAGTTGAATATTTGTTGAACGATTAGTGAATCAACGCTCACCTATCACTACTCTCAGGCATCTCCCTCTTACACCTCAAAACTCGCATGGACCTACCCACTCTGTCAATAATTATATTACTTTCTGATTACATTTTTTGTGTGTGGATAGGCAGGCAGGAAGGTTACTCAGTAGACAAAATATTGAAGTTCTTGCGGGGAGGATCAGGTATAACATTTGGGGTTTACGACTCATGCTCGGTGATGATATGGAAAATTTGTTTACTGAGAATTATATAAAATATATATAAATATAATAATTTCCCCTGAAAATTAATGTAAATATAATCTCCAATTTTTGTAATCCATTAAAAGAAAAATAAGTATAACATTCAGGGGTTTTAAAGATCATGTTCTGTGGTAATGAAACATTTGTTCACTGAGAATTATGATGTAGTATTGCCTTGTAAAACTTATGTATATATGATTTATATTGTATTTTTTTAAATAAAGATAAAAAAAACTCTGTTGTTGCTTCCGGGAATCAATGTCCCCACGGCCCGGTCTCCTGATGATCCACCAACTATGTTAGGCAGGTATACCCGGCACTATATGGTGTTGGGCATGTATACCCAGCATTATATAGTGTAGGGCATGTATACCCAGCACTATATGGTGTTGGGCAGGTATACCCAGCATTATATGGTGTTGGGCATACCCATTCATCAATTTGCATACAAGTTTTAGAATATCTTAATAGTTTCCGCTCGGTTCATAAAAAAAAAAAGGCAATGGGCAGGATGTAGTGAAGAAGCTTCAAGGTTGAAGATTAACTGCCACTGACAGCGAGCCCGTTATTGTTTCTCTTGGTCAGGCCTATAATCTTAGTTTGGAAATATGGCTTCAGAACACGTGAGACATTATTCTTCATCCCTCACCCACTTGGAGCTTGCCCCCTTATGAGACCTTTCACGTGGACATACTTATTATAATCATACACAAGAATCAAGCTTGAATGTATGCCATTTAAAGAGGAATATAGGAGAAAAGCCTAGTATATAGTCAAGAGGAAATGGAGAGACCTATAAAATCTTCAACTGAAATTTAATATAAATTATGTTCCTTATTATATTGATATACATGACATTTGCAGCCGTATGCATACACTAAGTTTGCAACACAAGGATACAATGTATGATTCCCTTATTAGGTTGATATATATATATATATATATATATATATATATATATATATATATATATATATATATATATATATATATATATATATATATATATATATATATATATATATATATATATATATATATATATATATATATATATATATATATATATATATATATATATATATATATATATATATATATATATATATATATATATATATATATATATATATATATATATATATATATATATATATATATATATATATAATTCTAAGCGCGTTAGAATTTGACTGCAAGCTATTTAGAGCTAGTAATGAGGACAGGGCGTCATTATGTTGTCTACTGCAGTGTTTTCAATAATAATTCTGATGACTACGATAATAGCCAGCGGTTGACGTGTAAAGTGAAGCCTAATTATTGACTCGTACACCGCTCTCAATTATGTTATTTGTTGTCCCCTAACTCCCCTTGCCACTTCGGGGGAGTATAGGGTGTTTATGTAGCTTCAGGGCACCAATCCCGCTAGGCCACAGGGCACCAATCCCGCCAGGCCACAGGGCATGGCGAGAAGGCACCCCTAAGCATCCATGTGACTTACAATGACACCACTTCCAGCCCTCCCTCTAGCGGAGCTGAGAGAACCGCCAGTGTGTATGATCTGTGGGATGTTGCTTTCACTTGGTTGACTGTGTAGGATTTTCAAGGGCATTGAATTTAGCAGCAGGCGAATATGAGGGTTGTGAGTAATTACTTTCCTGGTGGGGTATGTGGGTTCAAAGTTTCATCTGTCAGGGGGGTAAGAAGTGCTTCATAATTTCACATTTGTACACCTTGTGCAATGCAAACATTTTAATATGAAGATTACTTTTTTAATCTATAAAGAATTACTTATTTCACTGTGTATGTGATGTAATAATTCTATTGAAACATTGCTAAATCTGCTACCAGGCAGAGGCTTTAGTTCATGTTATAGGATTGATATAAAAAATCATATCTAGAATACTAGTTTTTATTTGGACTTTGTCGCATGTTAAAAAATTTCTACCCATTGAACCGTCCCGTCCTCTCGAATAGTACATCGCATTTTGACGTATAAGTCCTATAAGGCTGATGTATTACAAATAATAGCGGCTCGCAAAATTGATGATGTCCCGTTTTCTATTGGTGCGTCCTCGGTTCAACCTGTTCTCTTAAAAAGAACGTCGCTTTTGGCCGTTTGCCCGTATGGCCGAATTTGGACGTAATTTGAAAATGAAAATAAATTTGGGATTTTTTTTTTCAACAACAGTAAGTTAAGGGTCCTCTGATAGGTTAGGTGGGCAGGAAATTCTCATAAAGTTTCAAAACGTTATGAAAAACGTTAATTTAAAGTGTCCTCTCATAACCTCTGCGCGTACGCCGGACGACTCAAATAGAAAACGGAACAGAACGTCACTTTTGTGAGTCGATTTCATTTCAAATTACGCCCAAATTTGGCCATAGCGCGCATACGGGCCAAAAGTGACGTTATTTTTAAGAGGACGGGTTGCTCGGTTAGGTTAGATTTGGGCAATTTAATACATCAGTTTAGTGACGGTGGGAACGCTCGAGAGGCCGAGCTGATTGAACAGCCTAGTATA